TCAAGATAATCCTTGCAATTGCATATCTAGTACCCTAGTTTCTTGCAGAAATGGCATTTATCATTGTCCTTGTTCACTCCTCTAGTAGGCTTCATACCTTTTGAAATTGATGCCTTTTCATCTTTGTCTTTCTTGAAAAATTTTCTTTTCTTACTTTTATTTTTATTAGAATCGACAAGATGAATTGAAGGCTTCTCTTTTGTAATAGTATTCTCAACCTGTGTAAGCATATTCAATAAGCTCAATAAGGTTACCACAATCTTGTTCATGTTTAAGTTCAACACAAACTGTGAATAGCTCTCTGATAGTGAAGAGAGTACACGGTCTATGCTTAAATCATGATCCATAACCCAACTTGTAATGACCTCCCCGATCGTTGCCAACGTCTGAGACTTACAAGTGAACCCGTCAAATCTCAAACAAGCCTTAGTTAAGATTCCGGATGATTAAATCAAATATTCTATTGTGTACATAAATCGACTAGTAATAATGATACTTTTGTTTACTTAAACCAAATAAACGATTACAATTAAAGTATAGCAACTAGTTACAATATCCTCGTGTCTCCCAACTTCACACTTAACATCCAATACACAACCTCAAAGTTTTTAACAAAATACATTTTCGATAGATAGATAATCTTTATAAGTCTAACTATTTTACACACACGATCTTTATGTAGCGGAGCGACTCGAAGTGGAAGTCTAAGAGATGCCATTACCTATGTTGCAACAAGTCTCGAGGTGTTGAGCAATGCACTTGAGCTGATTACTTATCTGCAAAAGGAAGATAAAGGGGTGAGTCTCATAGACTTAGTGATTATCAACTTCGTGAGTAGGGCATAGATGGGAAACAAGCCAAGGTAGAAGATTTGAATGTATAAAAACATAAGAACATATAAACCATTTAAGAGCAAATGGGACATTTGTGCCTTACGTATAAAACCAAGGATTTTTATGCAAGAAATCATTTAACCATCATTGTCTCAAAACCAGTGTGAGTTAAAGACTTCTATCGTCGAAATCATTTAATATCTTTTACCTAAAATCGGACTAACATAAGCACGCATGCTCCCATGAAATCAAATGTTATTAAAGCTTTTACTCAAGCTCTTAAATCATCTCATCCCCGAGGGATTAAACACAATGTCATTAATTCATAATCAATATATATAAAGCATTGAAAGCTTTTAATCAAATAGGGGAGCTGTGGAAAAACTAGTATTTCTCACCATGCGAAAGAAGTCATGTTTGAAAACCCAAAGAGATATCACTCTTGAGTAAGTAATTGTAAATATCAACCCGTGGACCCACCTCCATGTAATAACAATCGGGGAGCACCGGTCCACCAGATTTTCACATGCCATGGCAGTCTTGATGATGTTGGCCGATGTTGGAGAAATCAAGCTATCGCAATCATGAATATTACTTGTGGCCTAGCCACATGTAACAACTTGTGACCTTGCCACGTATATCACAAACTATGGCCCTAGCCATGTCTAACAGCCCATCAGCGACCCAAAGGTTCTCTAGCTAGAGCTCACTTGTGTACAAGGGTCACACTATCCCGATGTGACATTCGACTCACTCTCGAATCTATCGATTTAATAAAATCACTTAAAAGCCAAATCGGGTTTTCAAAAGATCATTTCAAATCATTTTCAAAATGTCGATCCTGGTAGCGTACTAAAACCCTTTTGTGTAACACTTTGCTATGTCAAACCTTTTGCATGAGATTTAGATGTCAAATCAACATGATGAGTATAAAATTCATTCATGAATACACATCACACAATCAATAAGGCACATTTTGACATAAATTGTACTAAAAAGCTTGTTTCTCGAATTTCAAAATCCTTTACGTATATAACTCATATACATATAGTCAAAACAATTTGAAATACTTTAACATCCATAATTGTCTAGGATATCTACCATCTCATGCTATCCACAAATCACATTTAAAGTAAACAAGCACATCAAGTAATCGTTTAGCAATATATATGTATATAATATGAAAATTTGGAAATCGATACCCCCTACTCACCTTATAATAGCGGGACACTACGTCGCTATTGATTCAAGTGTGTATCTAGCAAACTCTTCTTGCTGGTCACTCGTTACCTCGTCCGGTATGCAATTACGACAAACTTTCCTGGCAACAAATTAAACTGAATCTGCTTAATCATACTCATATATGGCAAGTAGCTTGATTAATAATTCCTTGACCAAATTTCATATTTTTCATCAACCTTAATCACAAGCATTTTAACAAGCATTCTACATACTATCAACCGTTCATAACCAACACAACACAATTTAGACACATTGCATGCTCACTTCTTGGTTTTAGCTTGAGGCCCACATATGGTTCACAATTTCCTCCCATCCATGGTCATCATTGCTGCCACAAACATAAACAATTAGCACACATCTCATATCTCTTGTTTACTTGTGATTTCAAGACCAAAATACTTACCCATTGCTTATCTAGCTCAAATCACCATGCATTCCAAGATCTATCTACATGCATGCCTTCGGTTCTTTGAATCTTTGTAGATCCATTGCTACCACCAACAAAATCCCACATTACCATTGATTTACAAAGCATGCATTTCAAACAAAAGTGACCATCTTTATAGCTTTCTTGTCTTGGGTGGACGCTTCACAAGTTCTCTCCTCTCCATTTTCCTTCCAAATGGGTGGATCTTTCATGGGAACTCACTTGTTTTCTTCACATTTTTCTTCTAAAAACCGAGCCTTTCCTTGCATGTTTCTTTTCTTCTCATTTCTCTCTTCCTCTTAGGTGGAGGCTCTACAAGGCTTTCTCCTTGTATGTTTCTTTTCTTTTCTTTCCTTCCTTTCTTTTTTTCTTTGTTATGGACAGACCTCTTAAGGCAAAAGCCTTGAAAATGGCTTTCACTTTTCCATTTTGTTCATGCATGGGTGGATTGCTCAAAGCCA